GTACAGAATAATAAAAATCCGAGTTTGCTAACGTTTTTGGTTTTTGAGTCATTCGAAAAATAGTGAGAGACGTTATATTCTGAAAAGGTACTAATACCTGTTTATATGACAGAATAGAACAGGCGAAAAATACAGTTAATTTTGCTTGTGAATCAAAGGAGGAATGTCGATAAGGCCACTTTTCCAAAATTAACTTTGGCTTTGCTTGTAAGTAAATCTTATTAATCACAATAATGTCCATCGCATTAGCACGTGAGCTGGCCACAAGAATTATGATATAAATAAGTGCATGTTTCTATGTAATTAAATACAAAAATCTCAACCTGTCTGCGTGCCGCCCGAACTGATCCTCATTTAAAAAAATTGTAATTTGCATTAAGAGACAATGTAACTAAATTATTGGCAAAAATGCATGCGTTGTATTGCTGAAATTTCAGAGGACTTTCGCCAATTGCCGAAAGTGCACTGGATTTTTGCAGTTCGGCGAAATTCCAGTTTGGCGGTAGTGATATTGGCGTACGTCCTGACTTCCCATCGTTCGAGTACCCGTTCCTCTCTACCTGCATGCATCATTGCTCATCAATAATACACGATACGCACCACTAGGTTTTCATTTTCACCTTAATGTGCCACCGTTCTGGTAAAATGACTTACCTAATGACTTATAATTGTATAGGTTTGTACATGATGAATAAGTTACACCATCGAAATTTCGGGGAACTTTTATCTCGAGAAAACACAAATAATATGTTCCGTTATTTTGTCAAAATATGTGCTCAAATCATTCTGACTCGCATAAGGCTACACTCTACCTGAGCTTCTGAAGGCTCACCACGGTTTTCAACCAACTGTATCTTTTCAGTAAGGAAAATAGGGTCATATCTACCCAGTTGAGTATCGAAGATAGAAACTTCTTGCTATCAACATTCAGCTAGAGGTCTGCCTTTTTGGTCGTGGTCCAAAAGATATTTTTTCAAAGCAGCTCTGGTAGTTTGAAAGTCAGCGCGTTATAATGTGGCGCGTTGAACAACATGTATTAACCGAAGACTTTTGAAATTTTGTGTTAGTTCTTTCTCGCATAACTAGTGCCAACACGCAAACAGGCACAGAAACTAAGAAATTTTTATGCTCTATACAAGACTATTATCAAAAAAACCTGGTGCCGGTTCATTAAACGTCCTGCGGGCCGGAAGCATTCCTCAGGACTCGGACCGTTCCTCAGACCCCTAGGTCCCGGTCCCAGTCCTGATCCCGTAAAAAAGATTTATCTGGGTTCCGAATCACGACCGTCCTGCAGTTGTCTACATTCAGCATCTATTCAAAATATACCTACTATCATTCTTTTTCTAATGGATACTAACGATTTTTACATTTCTGTGTAGGCTCTAACATATTAATTACTTACAACTTGTTCGATGAACGAAAACTCACAAGAAATAGATATAAGTTTGAATAGGATGGCAAGCACCAATGCCACTGATGTCAAAAGTAATTACATCGATTCTGAACAAGCATCCTATGAAGAGATAGCCGGTATCGTATCGAACAAAGATAATCAAGAAATGCCATGTTTAACATTTCGCAGTGCTGTGATTGGAATCGTATGTGTCGGGATAGTATCCAGTTTTAACCAATATTTTGTCTATCGTTCACAATCCTATGAATTTCCAGTACTTCCTCTGCTATTAATAGTCTACCCAATAGGCCACTGTCTCGCGTGGTGTCTCCCGACAAGACGTTTTCAGATGTACAAGTGGAGCTTTTCATTGAACCCCAGCTCGTTTACGATAAAGGAACATGCGATTATCTATATCATGATTCTTGTGAGCAGCTCACACGCGAAAGCAACGGACATTATTGTGATTAAAAAGATTTATTTACAAGCGAAGACAACGTTAAGTTTGGACATTCTACTTCTAGTCTCCACACAAGTGATGGGATACGGAGTGGCGGGTAAGAAGACTAGTTATTCAGTCCCAGTGAGCATGCAGGTGGGCATTAAGAAAAAATCGAAAGTGCACTTTTATGGACTCGAAGACAGTAAAATACATAACGAATAAGGGAATTTTTTGCTCTAACAGCATAAGAAATTGTGTTTCACGTGTCAAGGATCTCTGGAAAACACATCATTTCGGTTTACAACATCAAAAAGGGTGCACAAGTTTAGAGGGGGGTCTTCTCTTGTGCCCAGAAAAGTCATATTTTTCGATACCCTCAGCAGTAAAAGTCGCAGTTCAGAACCGCAGTATTTTCCACATATTTTTTAAAGGCAACTGTTTATTTTGATTTTTAATTACAACCCTAGTGAAACTTCTTGTAACCAAGATCTTTACTTCTTGAATATTTCGGTA